AACCTGGCCTCTCTGAGTTGAGGACGTTAGACGACTCTCTGTGTTCGATCATCGCTGTCCCCGAAGGATTGCTGACATTCAGTGGCAACACCATGTCAGTAATGCAGAGGTTCGGCATCGTGTGTTTGGGCACAGAGATGATAATTCAATTGGTGTCACCATCTTGAAACACCGATTTCGGTGGCTTGGACATGTTCTACGAATGTCGTCCCAGAGAATTCCACGTCGTGCATTATTTGCCGACTCTGGGACTGGTTGGAAGAAGCGGAGAGGTGGTCAGTGCATGACATGGTGTCGTGGTATGAAAGCTGCAAAGGACTGGCTTCTGTTGGTCCTTCACGACTCCCTTATTGGGGTCTGAGAGATGGTGCTACACAGTGGCTAGAGACGTTATCAGATATGGCTCAGAATAGAAGCCAGTGGCGATCCTGCTGTAACCTTCTTTTACTTTCTTCATAAAAAGTGGTTGTGTCTCCCTTACCTGAAAGATTTCTTTTGATTGTACTTTTCCGTTTCATCGTTACTATCACACTACCTTACACCAATCTCTTCGTTATCGTTCTCTTTTTCTTTTGTGCTCCTTAGTTTTTTTTTCTATCTCTCTTCGAATTTTCATTGTTTTGTGTGGCGCATATATATTGGCGCTCTCTTGTACCAATATTTATGTGTTCAAATAAATAAATAAATAAATAAACTATTCATATTCGTGTTCCTCTTATCATAAGCTTTATTTTGACCTATTATTATATTATTTACCATTCTTGAGTTATGCCGTCTATCGATTACTACCTCCGACATTCACAGCCACATTTAGCTAAATCTTTTACAAATGTTGTTTCCTGTTTTATTGTATGATATTGCCTGTCTGGTTGGTATATAAACCCAGTATGTTTGAAATACATGATTCATATCGTGGAGGCTGAGATTGGTGTTCTGAACTTAACAGGCTGTGAAAAGTGGGAAGCAGGACCGATAAGGAATCTAGGCTGCTCGTACGTGTCTTATGCGCCATTGGTCCGATCGATAAATTACTGTTCTCTAATTGGCGGTATCATTACGTTATACATTAACGATGCACACAGACCACAAGTTATAACAACAATCGTGAAATAACAGCTAGCAACTATGTCTAAAGTCAACAGTAACTGTCGTCAATCAAAACGGAGACTAAGAACACAAAATGCAATGACTGTCACACGTAAGAAAAGTGGCAATCAGTGGAAAACCTGAAATCAAAATCCAGTTGACGAGTTTTAATTAGAGTGAAACGCGCGTCCTGGATTCCATTGCTAGCCGAAGGAACACACTAAAGACTGTCGAGCATAAAGAAATAAAAGACCGAATTAATGGAGGGAAGATCGTGAAGATTGTTGAATTTACATAGTTTTTTCACAGACTGATCTATTTGAGTAACCATTAAGAACTAGAAAGCACTGAAAAGCTGTTTCGTCCTAATATTGGTCCCATGGGTAGCGAGTACCAAAGACCCCATCTGGGATCGTAACCGGAACCGTAGGTCATAATATAACGGGAAAATACAAATATCTTCCGCTTGCCTAGTTATGTTTCTATAATACTACCGGTGACTGAGATTTTACTACTTCTGGCCTCGATCCTCGACTGATATGCGATACATAGCTCGGACCACTTTACACCAGGTACATAATTCACCACCAAAAATAGAGAACCAAATTATAAGGATAATAATACTTTATTCAAACACGGTTACAAGCAGTCTACACTCAAAGAAACCAGTATATAAACACTTGTTATTCGACAGTCACTAAGACGAAAGAAATTTTGGGACGTCATCATCAGCCCTGGATCAGCAAATACGACGGAACGCTAAAGACCGGTCCGAATTAAGTGTATAAGTATAATGAGCTCAGCAAAAATATAGAAAACGATTGACTCCATCTGTAATCAAGCGGCCGACAAGATTATTCTCACACATAAATTACAGAACAAGAACGCATCATTAGATTCTCAACTTAATTGCGGAAGGGAGTGGATCTCAAATGATGGAGGAAGACAAAGCAGAGTCCATGGCGTACGTTTTCGGGACAGGTTTCACTCAGGAGCCTCTTCTCGACGAAGGACTAGACGCAAATACAAAGTCTGCACAGACTTCAGCAAAGCATTTAATAAGGTGCCGGAAAATAGACTACTCTTGAGGCTGAAAAATCTAGGAACTACCGGACCTCACCTAAAGTGTATCAGGGATTTCTTAGTAGATTGTGGACAGAAAGTAAGAATAAATCCCAAATATTTCTGTTGGAAACCAGTACTTATTGGAGCACCATATATCTCTGCACTAGGTCCTTTAATTTTTATACCGTATGTAAATGAAATTCGTAGTTGGCTGATGCCTAACAACGGGGTCAAGTATGTATATATGTATTTTGGGGATACAAAGGGAAGCAGGTACAGCATGGAGGAAATGCCTGTACCCGCAGTCCGGTTTGATAAGGAACTTGGGATGACAGTAGGCTATGATCTTAAGACCTCAACACACTGCCGCGAAGTCGCAACTAAAGGATTTATAACCATATGGCCTCTAAGATAGACATTGACCAAGATAGCAATGTGTTTACTACAGTATACACAGCCTTAGATCCAAACTTGAAAATTGCGCTCGAACTGCAAGCCTTTGTTTGTATGTCATTGATACTTCGGAAAACGTCCCAAGGGCAGCTACCCGTGCAATTCCAGAACTCCTGGGTTTACGATACAAAGAGTGGGTTGAGAAGCTAAACCTCTTTACTCTGTCCTACCATAGATTAAGAGTATAGTATAGTGAGAAATGATTTTGGACCAGATATAACCTCTTTTTCCTCCTACTACATCAGGAAAACTTAGGGGACATACCAAGCGAGCATACAAGCCAAGAATGAACAAGATGCCCGTGGCGTACAGGTTCCCACATCGAGTGATCAATACCTGGAACCCTCAGAAGTGGCTTCCACCCCTTCAACTGACTCATTCAAGAGTAGACCAGACAATCTCAAAAGGTTACTAAAATAGGACTAACACAGGCCGTACGCCTTCTGTTCTCAGTACAGAAATCTAGACCTGAATCAAATAAGAAACATCCTTAGATTTCGAGATGGTTTTCGTCATAGATGAAATCCGAACGGCGATCTCCCACAATCGAATTTGATTAATCCTCAACCTATGTGAAAAAGATATACATCTTGTGACCTTATTTCTAGTTCCTCTTTTGGGTTCCCAAATGTGAATAGACAAATCTGGACCGTATGATTATTATTACTGTTACTTAACATCACTGGTCTTCACCGTACATTTAAAAAAGCTGGACGTACCTATAAGAGTATAATTTTGTCCAGCTAATTTTCCAAAGTCAGTACCCTGTTCTGCTAATATTCTGTTGATTTGTTACCCCTAACCGACTTATTTATTTCCAAACAATTTCTGATTACATTTGTTTAATTTCAACATTTTATCATATTGTTAAGCAACCTGTTTTCATCATTATTATTTTTCTAATATATATAGCATTGTTGATGAATATTCAAAGCCTCAACAGTTATGTATCTAGTTTATTAATAAAAATAACATTTCTCCTTGATTTTTGTTACTAAGTAAATCAGTATTTAAAATACATATCATCAGTTTTCTCTGTAGTAAAAGAAGCATATATGTACATACTTCAGAATAAATACATTGAAAAGGAAATGACTGACTGAACCGATCTCGTTTTTATGATGAATATTATCAACCCAAAATAACGAATATAAAGCCAATTTCCAAATTTTTTCGTATGTTTATTAACTAATATATTTAGAATTGTGCTTATGAGAACTAGTTTTCAAATATTGTGTAAATTATCCTCTATTAGTGCTGAATATGTGAAATATTCATTCACACAATTGTCAGCTAATGGTCAGTGTGCTTCTTATGAAGATCAAGTTTGAAACCTATGAATATTCAAGTCAGTTTATTAAGCGAAAAAATTTGTGTTGCTGAGCAGTGAGACTGCTTGTGTGTTGATGCCACGAAATGAGAGTTAGTTACGTTCCTGAAGCAACAAAGTTTATTTCCAAACATGACTTTTGAGAATTACAATATAAAGTGGCGAGCTGCTTAAATAACTTAAGATTATCTGACTTGTGGACTCGGTAATAGACAATTCTAAGTGAAATGACGAATCACACAGGTGGTTGGACCCCATGCCATCAGCAGATTCAAACACTGAATCTTCATTCACAGTAGACAACTTCAATTGATATTTACCTTAAACTTGAACCTTAGTATTCATTCATACATATCTTTTTTACTAAGTCTTCCCTAATCATATTCTCAATGTTCAGTCTTTCTCCTTATCATTGCTATTATGATTATTTCGACTGTTTTATTACTCATCTCAATAATCTAGTTGTGCTGACGTGGTATAGTGACCTGGATTAACATATATTTATGCTAAGCTCTATGTTGATTATGACTGATTAACTGTGGTGTAGGAGCAAATGACGAATCACGGTTTGGCTAACTTTGATCTAACCAAACCTAAAATAACCTAGCTACTACTCGTTTTACAGAGATTAGGATAATTCATATAATGATATTGGGAAATTGAAACAGGATCAACATAAACACGCATACAATACTTCTTGATATCAACCTCCCAGATTTTTATGTTGACTTCGATAGTATTAGAACAACGGAAAATACTTATAAATTAAATATGGAGATCTACAACTGAATAGATAATAATCAGTCAATCGAAAATATTTCAACTTTATAGGAAGTTCGTCACTGATCAAATAACTAAATGATCCTGGCTCAAATACACTACGAAAGTATCAGTTCTTTCACGATTACATGTAAACATCTTGTTGACAAGTTTCAATCATCACAAAAGCTAATTCTCACCATCCAATCATTTTTAACGTACTGATATATATGCATAAAACATTTTACAATAAAATGTCAAACAAATATCCAAAACCATAAAACATTTAGGAATAAAAATATAATTCCATTTTATAAAAACTTTAAGAATTGTGTAAAAAAAAGGGGGGAGGAATGATTAAACTGATTATCACAGCCAGAAAAAAAAACAGAGATTAAACAAACTAATCGTAAATATGATAAGAAGAAAAAAACATTAAAATAGGCCATTTAGTTTAAAATGCAAAAACAATTAGTTACGTTCTTTTTTTAATAAAAAAAAATGCACTAAACAACTCGTCTACCACCTAGTAACTAAATAAATGAGTAAAAAAAACAGTCAAACACACACACACACGCACACATATACAGTGAATGACTTAATTTTATATAAATTAAATTAATCAAAAAAGAGATAAGTAGTTAACATTTCAAATATTTTGTTTGATTAAATGACGAGCTTTATCAATTAATTGACGTCTTACACCAATTCCTGATTCATGTACACAACGTTCAATAAGTGTATATAATTCATTTGGTATTTGATAAAGAAAATTATTACAATGATTATTATCTTTATTATTAATACCATATAATAAACTAGTACATATAACCCAGATATTATGATCCGATTTTTGATATGAGCATAAATCATTAACATGATTATTATGTAAACATGGTGGTATATCACCATTTGTATCACCTGAGGTAGATATATTACCGAAACAATTATGTAATTGTAAACCATTGAGTACTTTCATTAAAGCATTAGTTGGTACAGTATGTTCTTTTTCAATGGTCGAGTTAAAATGAAAGTTAATTAACTAAAAAAAAATTAATTAAAATTTATTAAATTTAAAAATGATATTAAATAAAGAATTATAATTACTGAAAATTTAAGCATAGAAATAACTATGTATGTATAAACCATACAGTGAATTGAAGTACCAAGACGAAATTGAATATTGACTTGGTTAGTGATGATCTATTTCGTTGTAAAAACGAATCCTGTTGAGAAGGCTTTATAAGAAGAAGAAATGGATAAGTTCCATATCCACAATATAATTTTGGTTGATATTTTTCATCAATATCCCTTAAGTGAAGCTGCTATAAAACTTATATAGCATAGAGTTGAACAAGTTTATTATCTTACATGAAAATATGACTTATGGTAACATCTGCATAAACTGCTATTCTGAGTGATGACAAAATTGAGGTTGTGAAAAACTTATTTATTTGAACACATAAATATTAGTACAAGATGGCAACGAATTTATGTACACCGCACTACATCATCTAATTTGTGTAAGCGCTGACATCCTGCCCTAGCGTCCAAACCGAAGCAAGTGGTTTTCTTAGGGGTTCACTCCATTAGCCTTGGACCTACATATCTAATCTACAAAGCAGTGGAACAACTCTAGGAGATGCAGTCCAATAGTAGCCGGTGACCAACAATAGGTTCATACGCCATTCGTTTCCTCAGGATCCTGGAGCCCGTTTGTACCACTGGTTAGGAATCAGGGTTCACCAACTTCTTTAGGTGGATCCTTAATACCCACAAACTTGGCTAAAGCGCTGAACATTCGCTTTTTGTTCTCACAACTTCGTTAACCGACACTCTCACAGCGAGAAGACAGTGAGCAGAACTTCCTTATCAGTGGGTATATATATGCATGGCCATGTGAAAGCACTTGGAGAGGGAGATCGGACTCCCCCCACCCTCTGCCGTACCAGGGCACTTGGGGGTACATATATATATATATATATATATATATATATATATATACTATCTATCCCAATTTGATTTGATGTCAATAAGATCTAAGTCATACAAAACTGTGTAGATTAGTGCAACACGAACTATCAGGATTACAATTCATTACATACAAAGAGTAACTATACACAGTATTTCATAACTACGAAAAACTAATGATCATGTGAATGACTAATTGGATAAACTAAAATATTTTGATGAAATAATATCATATATGCACAAACGACAAATATCAGTCATGAGACTGCATTAACTTTACTTACAAATGCTATTCAACATTTATTTCTGAATCTTCATTCTTTCTACTCTTTAAACAGTTGTTATTCTGAAATCGTTATTAATGAGCATTTGAATTATACCATTTTTGATACTTTTGATTGTGTAGATTACCGTCATATACTAGTATGGGAATTGATGGAGATGGTAGTATTTTAACAGCTGAAATGAAGAGTCAATCTAAGCTAGACCACTACTGAAAAGGATGAAACAGTTGTCCACTGCTTTCTGGTTTTTAATGGTTAGTTAACTAAGGTCAGTTCGTAATTGGAACAATAAGAAGTATAAGGCTTTGAACAATGGTGAAAGGATCGTAACAAAACTCATCCTATACATTACACGCGAAAAGAAAGCTTTAAAACAATCATATAATATCTAGAATGATCAGTTTTCTTGCTTTCCTGATACTTAAAATCAAGAAATTAAATCGAATGCAGTAAAATGGTAAAGGGGAATAACTTTATAAATATTGCTATGTTATGCTGGATATGAACGGGGCAGAGTTGAAAAAAAAACAAGTTAGAGGTGATTGTACCTAGGATGGATTCGTATATATATATACAAGATAATTTTAAGAAAATGATAACTAAATCAACATTTCAATTATAAATTTAATATGAATAACCATATAAAACCATTTAAAATTAATAATGTAATAACAAACTATTGGATACTTACTGTTTTTGTGTCAACAATAATTGCATGTCTTAAATTTGAAATGGTTACATCATATGTTGTAGGATCTACTAGAAATAATGAGTTTAAATCAAAATCTCCAAGGTATATTGTATAACCATCAGATGAATTATGTTTATGCATATCATAAATAAAACTACCATGATTCATTTCATCAACAGACTGATGCTCTAATTTTTCTGGTAGACTGAGAATATTTAACAAAATTTGTAATCTTATCCATAAAGGAGCCTAAATAGAAGAAAAAGAAATTGTCAGTGAGGAGTTGTGGAGATTGTTAAGTTTTAATTGAGATCAATGTTCGATCACCATTGAAAACGTGGGAGAGTTAGGTGGCTAGTGTGGGATTCCGCAGCAATGTTCGCGCAATACTGAAGATCTTTGACCTGAGTATGTAGACATACATACATTTTCATACACATAGATCAAGTCCATATATAAAAATAACAATTACTGGATAGATTAAAGTACACCTCATATGACCAAATGCTAGAAAAACTCACGTAGTAATACAAAATGCTACGTCGGCATTGCATCGAAGACACTTATGAATAGACGCTTACAGCTTACTAATGTCCACTCCTTTCATAGGCCATGTTTCAAGGTCATAGAGTAAAACACAGTACACCATTGAGCAGTATACTCATCCTTTGGTTGTCAGATGAGTAATTAAAAGTATAAATGAGTAAAAATCACGTCGTTATGAAGAACAGATTTCACAAGAAGACACACATCTACATTAGTAGAATAAGAATATAAGCAGAAATTTCATATTCAAAAAAACTAACTCTCACTAATCATCGCCTTTTGTAGGTATACAACATAATGTTATCAGTATCCATTTACTCCATATATCAGAGAATTTAAATATTTTACTTCACTATCATTTACATCAAGAAATACCATCTCATCATTGTCAAAACAGATAAACTATAAAACCCGTGAAGCATAATCTAATTACTTAGAATAATACTTTAAACTTTATTTCACTGTCTTTTTCGAAGATAGCATTTTTCTCTGAAGTACATATATATGGCTGAAGAATAGTATAAAAACGTGCAGATCCACCTAGAACTTGGATCTGAAATGCACAAGAACTTCTAAATAGTAATGACAATTGTATAGTATAAAACTTTCTTTGTTTCAAGGCTTCTCTGTAATTATGAAGTTTTTTCTTATACAAACTAACTGTTTAGATCTATATGTATATAACTTCAGTCAGGGAAGATTGTTGAATCGTAGGGAGAAAATCAGATGGCAATAGTGTTAACATAAAGTCACTTGACAAGAGAACTAAAAAAATTGTTTTAATGAAGTCTGGGCAACTAGATTCACATTATTACCAATATACGATTCTAATATAACAAATGACATAGATAATTGTTTGTTAATACCAATTTATTGAAATTAGATAGGAAACTGTAAAAGCAAGTAGGGAATTATATAGAAATGGGGGAAAAAGTAGAAACAGTACCAAACAGAAATAGCTCAATGGTACACCATGGTATTCTTCAACAGACCAACGTCCACAAGAGCCTAAATAACTTGGAAACGGCCAATTTTCTTTGCGTGGAAACGATTGTATGATTACACTTTGAGGATCGATTGCCAAATTAAAAAGGAACATCAATTCATCAAAACGTAACCAACGAGTTTCGGCTCCAAAGCTTGTTCGTTCTAAAAATCTAAAATATAATAGTGTAAATATGCTTATTTATTAATTAGAAATACATTCGCTTATTGTTGTAGCCGTTTGTTCAAACTATGTTTGCATAAAATAAATACAATAGTGAGTTTTATAATAATTAGAATGTTAATCATTCGTTCAATCTGTGTTCTATTGGTTAGTAAGATATTTTTAAGGCCGCTCTGATAACACACAATATCTGCTTGAAGGCGTTCGATAGCTATTCCTTTTGCTATCAACCAAACAAATTGCATTCTGCTTGCGTAAAAGACATTAGCACAAAATCAGTAATATTAGTTTAGTACATATATTTTCAATACCTCTTTTGAAGATGTTCAAACAAACGATCGCTAGAACACCGTGTGGCTGGAGCAAAACTTGACTTTACAGCACTTTTATCTTCCACACTTTTTTGATTTACTGAAGGAATTGGAGCTGCCAGAACTTCTCTACCAAGCGGAGATTCTACTGAGTTACTAAATGGATCATGATTATCAGCATTTGTTGGGCGCCAGCGCCAAATCGAAAGATGTGGTATACAAGAAAGATTAGCTAGAAGAGACTGTGAGAACATATGAGAACCTTGTCTCAAACCTCGTCGACAAACAGCTTCATCAACGGCATATGGCGTGGCTGGACTTCCAAGACGGCGAAGAAGAACATATCTAGTATTTTCGTAAAGACCTAAAACGCGATATTAACAATGTAAATACTTCAATTATGTAAACAATTAAACAAAATGAATACAAATATTAAATCACCTCGAAAATGAATTATATGATGAAGTTAGGAAAAGTGGAACGACAAAAGAGACAATACAGGGAATTATCGACATGGCGTAATAACTGAAGTGGTTGAATAAATCAAAACACTGGAATTTTTAATAACACCTTTAACAAATTACAAGAACAAATCAAAAAATTTAGATTGATCCATGTAAAAATTTAGACAGCAGGTTATATATGAATATATACTGCATACCAATTACAAAACACGCGATTACCGTAGAGAACCAATTTATCGTTGATGAGAAATCACACAGTAACTTAATAAAGTGTGAAAACCATACATTAAATACATCATTTGCACAACATCATTGAGATGTCTCTTACAAACATCATCGTTCCTTCATTCCTACTTTTATTTCGATTACTTCCAGTTTTCTTATCTCTTCTCTTCATTTCAATATTTTGCTCACAGTCATTGCACCTCCGAATGGTGTTACATACTACTTATATCTGTCAACATAAGTAGCATACACCATACTATCATTTGTTCCGTTTGAATCATTGTAAAATACAATTTAAAAAACAATCAACATATAAATATTTGTTTATTTTCAAAATTATCAAACGTTTTCGGTTAGAAATATTTTCACCTACAAGAAACGCTAACATATGGATATAAATAAGTATTTGTTAGGTATTGTCTTACTATACCATAAATTGTCATCTTTACACTCTCTTTCAATATAATCATAGGTAGTAATTTAATTTAATTGTGGAAATATATGATAGGGATAATAGATATAATACAACAATGTTTGTCAGGAAAGCACTTTCAATCTTGTATACATATATATTATCATTCTACTGTGCAGTATAGTAAATAAACTAATCAAATTATCCTTAATAAGTTTCCATTTGTCATACATCACATTAGGCGTTTGTAATGAAGCAAGAGGCAAAAATTGTATCGAACAGGAAATATTTTCCTGATTTTGCCTGCTTTTTTTAATTACAGTAAGATGAACAGAGAGAAAGTTAATGGGGAAAAAAACATAACATTCACAACTATTACAATTTGGAGGAGACTTTCAAAAAAGTTAGCTTTTAAACTTAATGACAGGAGATGTAATCCATTTACCGAAAAAAGATTCAAGTACTTGCTTTTAATACAAACACTAAGTGTGAAAGATAGTGACCAGATTGAAGTAGGTAGAGAGGGACATGTTTCTAGTTTGTTTATATTCATTTTGACATGGAAATGGATTTTACACGTTCATGTTTGTCTAGTGGTTTATACGTAAATTTCAAATAAAAATGTATCGAAAAAATAGGTGTATTTATTTCTGATTCCAAGTGAATCCTACAAAAACCGAGACCAAGAGATCCACACTGTTTCTGCAGTATAATGCTTACATCGATTGTTTGATGCTGAGGTTTATTTCAGCAGCTTGAAACTACAGAAATCAGATAGGATACTAATCAATATGCACTAAATTTAAAATTCACTGATATTGATAAAAGGTGGCGTAGTGCAACAGTTGACATCTTATATCATGAATACCGAATATGGAGGGTTCGATCGTGGAACTTTAAGGACCTGAGCTAACAATCCAAGTTTTTGAATTCATAAGAAATTTGAAACACTCGTGTTTTTACATCGGCCAAATGAAGTTTGACAAACAATTTTACTTATAATTATTATTTTCGATAACCTTTGCTTGTTTATTTTTCGTTACCTCTTTCTACAAATATACGCTTCATTGTCTAATTATTCTGAATGTGTTATTTCATTGTTTATCTTTCTAAGTTGTTGACCTCTATTACGAAACATTGATCCAAGCCTTTATTATTCTTATCACAACTAGTACACCCGTCGTCATACTACTGATTTGTACATTTTACGTATTAAGTCTTTTACAACCTATCCTATTGTTATCACTGACTCATAAACTGCCTTGATTGGTTTGATATTTGTATACGTGCATATAAATATTATTAGCCTATATTACAACAAATCCTGATGAGGATCTGATTGAAAACGATAATATTCTCATATATAATATTGGAATTCTTGAGGTAAGTTTCAAAGAACTTCTTCTGTAATTTGAAAGGTTAATTTATTCAAAAACATCCAGCTGACGAGTCCTAAATAGAACAAAACGAGCAACCTGGATTCCATAGCTAGGCACAATTCATCTCTTCTATATCAAAGCAATCCGTACCAGATTCCCATATACGCGAACTAACACTGATCAAAATTCAGCCAAGAATATCAATGATGAGATAATTCAAACACAAAACAAACTTACCCATAGTAGCTTTGTATCCAACAACAGGAAAGGATAATCCATTTTTAGTAGACTGAAAAATATTAGTTTGACTACTAGTCAATCGAATTTCTCCACGATAAAAATGTGGACAAATAGACTGTCCAGCACATCCAGGACATTTTTTCACTTCCAACATATCAATGTCCAAACTCATGTTCCCAAAAGAAAATGAACGGAAAAAGAAATAATACACACTAATTAGTAATAATGTTGAGAAAGCAACTACAATAATGGATAGTAAAATCCACTGAAGTTTTGACTGCCTATTTACAATATTGCGTTTCACGAATGACTTATCACCATTTGTATTTCGACTATAAACTTCAGAAACCTAAAATTTCGTAAAAAAAAATAAACATGCAAAGATTGTGAAGGAATTGGAGATGACTATGTAGAATAGAGCGAAATATAAACTTTAGTTATATACATAGATTTAAGCGTATGAAATATTACATAACTGACCTTGGGTAAAAACGGGACACGATGGCTTAATTCCATATTGTGAAACTCTAAAATAAAACAAAGACTATTAGGTGTGGACAACATTGTATACCAGTCAAAGAGCAAAAATGATCATCAAAAGGTCATTGTATAATATAGTTACAATATTTCTAAAAGAAAGAATACAATTCCTGTATTAACCAATTTTAAGGAGTAAAATAGTACTGGACCAAAAGATTACTAGATTATATTGCCAATAACCTAAAAGTCGATTGTCTTAATAACAAATGAATAAACGCTCAGATGTCATCTTCATGTTAATACTGAATAGTTCTCTACTGAAAATAAAAAAATTATGTCTAACAGTAACCAAATAAGATAGCATGGAAGGCTGTATTCATATCCATAGCAGGTCATCTAGGAAAACAACCTTTGGTAATTAAACAATACAGATGAGAAAAGTCGGCAAACGGAATCTGAAACTTCAGGAGAAGGGTTGACTGTGAGAATTGTATCAAACAGGATGAGATTAAATGTGTTGGTTCAGTCGCAAGGTTGGTTTGTCTGTTGCGTTGTGATGTTGTTGGACTCTGAAGTTTCAGCTGATAGTGATGCGCGAAGACTTCTGCTACGTTGTTTCAGGCGGCTGTATTCTCATGGTCTAGCGCGGACAGCTAACTTGAAACCGGCAGGGATTACAGGAATCAAGCTATCCAATTAAAACACGGGATTGTAGTTTCCACTAATCTGTTTTGACGAAATGTGATCTCGACCCAGAGCTCTGTACAGATTTGATTAGATGAGGGTGAACCAAGGAAAATTGGACAGTTATTCCGTCCTAATAATCAACTCTTCAGCAGTGTGCACGTACAGCCACATCACGGATAAGACTCAAAGCCATCATGTTCTCCAGCGTATGCGATACTTTTGGATCATTGACTTAGAAATTAATGGTATACATTTCCTATCTCAATCAATTTATGACGAACGCTTAACTGCTAGGACCACAATTCCAAATTCGATTAATATGAGTCATAGATCGACGATCATACGACGTCACTGATAATAACCGTTTCGCTCTCGATTTAACTGAACTTCATCCACTTATCACAAGGACTTCTGGAATATGTTGAAGAGGTTTTGTAAAGACCGACTTAATTAGTAGGTGGTATTCGTCAGGGATTGGTCTAAGTACTTCCTAGTTCTCGACAGTACTTCAAATTAGACCAATCTGCGAAAAACATAACCTATGAATTAGACCAAACTCCACAAAACCTCTTCAACTTAAACATTTTTCTATTTTCAAGGTGATAGGTAAGAGTATCCCCGCTAGCGACTAACATTGATATAAGAATAGGTTCATTTAGGAAACTGATAAGAGAAGTAAAAATACGAACAGATCTGTGTATATTATAAAAGTTTTGATTGATAACAACTTGTTTAGAAAGCTTCAGATCAACTTGAAACTTTAGGTCACAAACATATCACGAATTGGAATTAAATAAGATATATGCGGACAATTTTATTTTTGACTAGATTCAGAATACTCTTGAAGCCTCATGACATAAATAAATGTCAACATTATTCCATAAATTTTATGTCGCCCTCATTCATTTAGAAATACGTAACAAATTAAACGTATACAATAATGTTTAATATACCGAACTTTTTATTTGACGTCATTACAATTTGATCAAATACCAAAATGTAATAAAAGTTGGTTTGAATAGAAAACAAATATCTAAAATCGTTAAATCGATAATTGTGAACTCTATATCTGAAATATTGAATTACATCTTCCATAGAATAGATCGATTTTAACTTGTAGCGGGATTCAACACATGCATCTTTTTTGTCATGATTAAGTACTTGTGAGCTAGATGTACCTGTATGTGTTGATATTCACACTAGAATTCGAACCGAGTATCTTTCGCTTCAAATACCCAATGCATTATCCACTAAGCTAATGAGTAGTTCATGATATCAATTTATTTCGCAGGTATGATGTTTATATCAATATTAGTAAGGATTTGAATTAGGCTGTTGTTAATATTTAATAACTAAATTATGACCAGCCTTAGTTATAGTACAGGTAAATTCTGTACAGATTGTTCTAAACCACACTATCATAAAGACAGTAATATTTGTTATCTATTAATTTTGATGTTATATCTAGTGAATTCAATACAACACTAATGTGAATATCACTGGTTGAAATCATGAGTCAATTGAAGCTAGACTACCATGGAAAACCTGGAAGCACTAGACAACCGTTTCGTCCTAGTATGGGACTCCTCAGCAGTGACCATCCACGGTCCCGCACCCCGCGGGATCCGAACCCGGGACCTACCAGTCTCGCGCCAGGCGCTTAACTAACTAGACCACTGAGCCGGCATCCAATGGTGCTAATGTCTAACTTCAACCAATCCACGAAGTTGCGCCACCGTACACCATTGTCTTTAGTGAGTTGTTATCTCACAACAGACCTGGTTGAACTCCACTGGTAACGGCTTCTCACTAGAACTCCAGGAGTATTTTCCTGAAGTCAGTCACTAGTGAGCAGTTGATTATTATCAGAATGGGTTTTGTGAACACTTAGAAAAATGATATTAATATGATGTTAAACATATAAAATTGTGTTTTAATACAGTCAATACCATTCGATCAGATGCGAAAAAACAACAACAACACTTCATTCTATCGAAACAAAACAATCATATTGGAAAACAAAATCTGTACATATATAATATCAGTTTATTAAAAACAATAATATCGTTAGTAGTAGTAATAATAATGGTAGTGAGTTCTTATTTTAAAGTAAAGTACGACATTGTAGTAGAATTGTTGTTGTTTATTTTTTTTTCTTGATTAATGAATTGAGAAAATCTTCACATTATAGTCTGGTACACTCATATATAAACATATACACATACACTTACAATAATATAAAAAAAAGATGATAATGATGATAATGATAGTAATAATAATAATAATATGAAGAATAACGATAACAATAGTAATGGTAATAATTTTTTCGCAAATAAAGAAGAATGGATAGTGCAATAACGAGTGATGTTACTTATATGAGAATGAACAAAACATACAAATAAAAAAGCGTAGAGAAATGCATTGTTTGTCTATTTTATTTTAATGTGAAAGGGAAAAACAAAATTTACAAGTTAGCAGATATATATATATATATATATATATATATATATATCCAAATGGGTATGGAAGAATGATGTTAACACCAGTACGGTATCTTATGGGAGGCTATAAAATTTAGGAACGAAAGGGTAAAACAAAATGTGTGTGTAGATCAACGGTTAAAAAATACAGCTGCCGGTATTAATATTAGAGAATAAATGATGTGTGTGAATGAACACCATGATCGTAGTTATGTATATATGTGATCCAATACTATTTAACAAAAAATTGGCGTACATTCACAATTAACATCTTCTGCGACCAATAATAAATCAAATCAAGAATGAGCCAAGAACTAGGAAGAAAAAATATATAAAAATTGGTAGATAATATACTGTAGAATAATAGAAACTTTACAGTTTTATCAATTCATTTCTTTAAAATAATATCGTCTGATCCCTAAAAGTGAATTATTTATATTAAATTACTTTAATGTAATCTATGAGTCCTAACAGAATATTCATGGTAGATTATAATTTTATTATTATTATTATAAAGTGTTTGAACTATACAGCTGTTGATGCTAGAGATTGAACTTTGATCAATCTTAGTTGTTTGATATGTGTGTATCATGAGCAAATTATAGATATATGTGCATTTTAGCATATGTTTTTAGAAAAGGTGATTCACGGTTCAAACTAGGAAACGAGATACGTGCTTCGTCCTATTTGGGACTCGTCAAATGGACACAATTACGTCCTACTGCTGATATTAAACACTCAGTTCCAGTCTAAGCGTTAACATCAATACTGGGATTTAATACCACGAAGATGACAAGATCAAAATAACAAGAAATGTATGTTTATATTTCATTCCTATACACAAAGCATTTATTCTGTAAGCTTGCTACGTTTGAAGAGATTACGAGTTCACCCAATCTATGAACGGAACGAAGACTCATTGACCACTAAGCTATTCCGATGCTAACTAAAGGGAGAAGTCCAGGTTCAGAAGCACAAACAACAACAATAAGCACAGCTCAAGCACATGTATACAACATAAAAATGTCCTTGAGAAACGTTACAAGATAGCATAGTAAAAGATACAACGAACCAATAACATTTAGGGTCCTCCAAAGTGAGGAATACGACATGAAGGTGAAAATGAGCGCCTTTGGCGCTAAAAAAGAAATTCAGAATTTTAAAATAGAATTGTAAAGTCAGACATTTCCTAAGTGAGTTCTGGGGATCTAACATCCCCAACAAGGTTACAATATTATTTACACCTAGTCTTTCTTGAAAACGAAAAGGTAGCGTGGCACAGATTTAGTTAGGAGTGTAACGCAAAAAAGAAAATTAAAGTAAACTAGCTAATTATTCAATAAACCCTCTTGACCTATTTAATCCTAGGGTTCAATATATGAGGCAATGAAGAGTCAGGAGATACAATTATATGGCACATTGTTGTGACAAGCCCTTTTGTGGTACCGGAGACCATATGCTCCTATCGTTCACATTGTAGTATCTTATGTATCAGATATCTATACTCTTCCTCATTCTTTATAAGAACGTCTCAAATGCAGAAGTACTAAGAGAATAACTTTGCTAGCAGTAGGTAAATAAGTACAACCCTGTAAGAGCATTCTGAGGTTAATCGATTCTTTAAACATGAGAATTTCCATTGCATTCATTCCACGGTCTGAAAATTCAACTATCAATTAATAGGTAGTGAGTGTAAATCTAACTTTACTTATTTAAGTTTAGTTAACCATTTTACAATAAATATCAAATGACAGTGGTCAATATACCTTATACGTTTTCTTTACGGTTATATACTTATCTGGTATGAGAATTTTTATTTCATACATTGGGCTCAGAAATTTTTGTTAATCCTTTAGTGACAGTACCCACTCTTCTACGTCATACGATTATTATTTCTAACGGTTATAATATGAGAAATTTAGCGTAGAAACTATACTGAACTCTGTGGAAGCACTAAAGATGAAACTAAACAGAATATTGAATCCAGCAAAATCTTTAGTACGCTATGGTGATAACGTATCAATACCATAAGATATTACAGATGAATCATTAATGTTAATGACTATAAAATGTAGTAGTGTTAAAGATGACCTAAATAAAAGAGAAAAAAGTTTGAATAATTGTAGTAACCTCCGTAGCTTTAAGGTAGGTTGGAATGTACAAAGAATATCGGCTTTCTCAATGTAGTTTGGTGAGCAAGTTTTTGGCATATCCCATGAAATATAAAATGTAGGTCCAGGGTCTTAAATCAGATAGTCCCGATCATTTAAAATTACTACGTAATCTGACGTACCAAATACTTCAGATGATACGCTTTATAGAGTTATTTACAAGATGAAAGTTGGCATGATAGTACAAAGTGAACTGATAAATATCATCGACATTACTGTCCTAAATAACTTAATGTAAATTGTATTCGTGTGTGCAGCTATCACCCATAACGATCTATTGTGTTATTTTAATGTTATTTATAGAAAAAAAAATTGATCCTACGAACACACACTTTACAACAGAATGTATCCATATACAGAAATGAGATAGAATGGACAGATGAACAATTACTACAGGTGACGTTTTGAATATGTTATGTCGTTATTTAAAAAAATAATAGAATGATAATAATTTAGTGTGAAACCCATTAAGATGTTATTTGTATTAACTTACCTCTTTAACAGTGGAATTAATGAAATCCTTGCGATCAGATAAGTCAATATTAGGATAATTAGCAAAAATCTAAAATTTATGAAATAATAAACAAGCATATGATTGATTTGATGAGATAGATTCAGAAAGAAACAAAAATTAAGACTCAAAATATCAATTACATTATGAAATTCATATAACAAAACTGAAATAATCATGACATGGAGTATGCATAAACTTATGTACAATAAAACACAATAGCATAGAACATTGCACAGAATGCGTTGGTTCGAGCTTTTAAACTTTGTGACAGCACTGGAAACGAAATTCAAAAAAGAGAAGTGTTAATAGGATACAGTTCAGACAATATGACACTCGGGTCAGGTTTAAGAGTATAGTGATTGACTTAATTTCAACCAGTCGGTGATGGTTAATGGATTGAGAACATGTTAGAAGTATTTTCAATGAATGTTATGCACTCTCATATGTTTTCATGACTTTATCTTCCGTTATTTATTGAAATGTACATGCAACAACTATTTACACTAATATAATGAAACATTAACACATATATACAAATAACATTCTATTAAAAATTCATTTCAATAAACGTTTACCGGTGTGTTATAGATCCCGGGATACGAACACAATAATCAACGCTCTATACTAACATTTATAATAACCAGTAGTAAAATTTCATAATCAAGAGGATCGACGATAAACCATAACTCCTTTGTTACAAAAAAAGGCCGTCTTATTTTATGATGAATGAGGTTATTCGAATCAAGTTCGCTAAACACTTGATCTAAGCATTAAAAAACAATCATACTTAAAAACGAAAAACATCCGAGAAATGCAAACAATCACCTTGTACAGTTCATATCATTTCTAAGTCAGATTATACTACATAAACTAGTTTCATACACCAACCATTTTTCGTATAATTGAATCTTGATACTGAAAGTATTAGGTTGACCGTCGAAATTTTTTTACAACTGTTATTAAGTCAAAAACATTGTTTCAAATTTATCCAGTCTGAATTCTTACTACTTTATTCCAAAATTACCCCATAGGCTTAGAATAAGTACTTACAATAGTGACCTTTAATCCACTCTGTTTACATTGTCTTTTACTGTTTTTCTGCAATTAACGCCATATTCAAAACGTCAAAAAACATTGTAAAATATCATTGTTTTTTGTGAAAGCAGAAAAAACTACTTTTTCTACCTAAGTAATAGCTACTTGAATAGTGCTCCGGAGAAGGCAAACGAATGTTGATAGACGAGTGGATATTGGCCATAAAATAGTTGAGATCTATCAATCTGTTTTTAAGTTTACATTGTTTTACAACATATTCATTTTGATGACCTCGTTAACGCTCAGGATCTTGATGACATAAAATGGCAGATTGTAAATTTGATCCAGTTATTCGTGGGAAACCTTGATGAAACAGTCAGAAAGTTAGGGATAAGATGCCCAAAACTAAATAAATTAGTATCTAGTAACTTAAACCATGGATTTGTGAAAAATAAAGTATGAGAACGACCAAACCAAGATGTGGTAATAGTCTACAGAATTACTGATGATTGGTTTCCTCGTGAACATTGTGATTAATTGCTGGAGTCTTTCGATGGTATGGTTTAGAATTGATAGCAACTATGCAAATGCATTCACCTTTGATTTTCTTTTAGATTTTGAATTCGAGAATTATTTCAAACTTATAACTCCCCAAACTCATCCATTCAACCTGAATTATATTGCTTATGTCTCAGTTTTCCTACCACCACTAGTTCCACTGTTACTTCTACTACTCTGAAATTTGTCCCAGTAATTTTATCTCATGGTCCAGATGTAGCGTGGCAACTTGAACTGATACGTACACGTATATCCTATGTTCTACATTGCTTATGACCGATTTGCCAAAAATAAATTTTGAAACTGTAGGCTACTAGCTAACAAAAAAGTAAGCGTCCAATGCGAAAGCATATCGTGATACAACAAAATATCAATGGATTATGTTATATAAGAAGAAAAGATCCGTTTTAATAACGCATTATACTTTAATTACCTTTTCTCGAACAACTTTGAGAGATGTCTCTTCTAAATTAACTGTTTTAAGTAGATCAATTATATTTTTCTTTAATTCAGAATCAGTTGGAGGGGTAGTTACTTTTGTGGATGTTAAATTAGACAGAGGAACATTTTCTTCATCAGAATCAAGTTCTTTTTTCATTTTAGTCGGAACATGTTTATGATCATTTTCATCTTCTGTATCACTAAGTTCATGTTTTTTAGCTCGTTTAATACTAGGTTTAACAGGTTTTTGTTTTTGTTGTTGACTTAAAGCACGTTTCTTTGGTGGCTGCTTTTTTTCGATTGATTCAGCTGCATCTGATATATCACTTTCTGAGTCCTCAGATTCAGATGACATATCGTCAGGTTCATCAATATCCTGCTGACTTGAATTATCTATACTAGGTTCATTTGAGACAGTGTTCTTTTTCGATGGTTTTGATCCCAATTTTTTAGAGATGATATCTTTAGATTTATTTTTTTGTTTATATTTTTTAACGATCTTTCCTTTACATTTCACAGAATTAGCGGTTGGTTTGAGTAGGAATTCCAGTAAGCGAGAGGCCAACTGTTCTCGAGTTCCTGTAACTTCTAGGTTTAAGATGCGGAGAACTTCGCGTAGATCACAGGCAGGGCGTCTGTCAAAAAAACCATAGTAAAAAGATAAAATAAGCTTTTCCTCCCCAACAGATAAATCAATACAAACATGTTTACAATCACTAAACTTCCCATATATATAGGGATGTTTAGAAACCTAACCAGAACTTCAACGAAAATGAATGTACTGAAAGTCACAAGACCGACATCGCTTTACCAGATAAGTTAATATTACTATGTGGGTGGGAAGTGGTGCCACGTTATCTAGCTTTCGATGATGATCCCGATATATCAGTCAAGCTCATAATGTATCAGCGAATCTAAATGATTTGATTTCGCAATGAATATTGTTTGATGCCTTACAGAAAATCAGTTACTTCTGGGATAGCCTGATAGCAACATTTCTAATTTTGATAACCAGAGGTAAGAATTTGAGCTCTTGTAGTGTTAACGGATGTCCAAAAGTCTTGAAGACTCTTGTTCATGAGTGTAAATAAATTCATTGAGCTGTAAGTAGGTTACTAAGGCATGAAGTTTTTAAACTCAATAAATGTTTTTAGGATACTTAGAATACGGCTTGAGAAAGTGACATGGGAATGCATCTTATGATTGATTTCAAATGTAGACTTTTTAACGATATATTACGAAAAATTACATCGTCGTGCAACAAATTTCTTCTGGGTAAATATTTGAATTAATATTAGTCTACTTAATAAGTGATTTTCGATTTCCAAAGCCAATTGGCAGAAATGATAGTGAAATAAGATCCATAGCATAGACATTGATAAAACTATTACGTTACAATTGATTCTGACCGACAGGAGCTTATTTCCAGTTACCAATATCAACGGCTGCTGAGATATCAACACTGTAGTCCTGGTACGGTCGAAAGTGGGGAGAGTCGACTCTCCCTCTCGAAATGTTCTCAAGTGGTCACGTGCATACAACCACTGCTAGAGAAGTCCTACTCACTGCCTTCTCGCGTCACTACTGTTGTTTACGAAATTGAGAAGACGAAAAGTGGATGTCCGGTACTCTAATCGGGTTGATGGATACGGAGAATCTACCCAGGGGAGTTGGAAAACTCTGGTTGCAAACCACTGGTGCACATGGGCTCCAAGATCCTGAGGAAACAAATGGCGTATGCACCTAGCGTTGGTTACCGGCTACCATGGGATTGCATCTTCTGACGTTGCTCCCCTGCTTTGTGGATTGGACCTTTGGGTCAAAGGCTCAGGGGTTTGGCCTCCTAAGAAAACACCTGCTTCGGTACGGGCACGCAGGCAGTATCCCGGCCCTCACGCCAATAGAATGATTTATGTGGCGCATATCAGTTTGGTGCCTTCTTGTACCAATGTTTGTGTGCCTAAATAAATAAATAAATTTCGTACGGTTGGTTAAGTAAACCGAAAATTTCAAAAAAAAAGTGCAACAATTTTTCCTATTTAACTAGATGAATTAACCTACTACTTCTAGCGCTAATAATACCTTGACTATGAGACGACAGACACAACTAACATAGGGCTGAAATAAGCGAATAGCTAGCTTACTGTTGAATATATGTTGACTTTTTTTCGTACTGCTCAGAACCCATTACAAAACCAAAACCTCGAAATTTGCGTAGATTACTACGTATTTTGCTTGCAGAGCCAGGTCTACCATATATTATTAAATGCAGTGATTTGAGGCTAGCAGGTTTTGCTTTTCGTATGGAAGCTTCAATGAGTGGGATTTCACCGAGTGCCGTCCCTGTAGCCCCCTCAAACGCTGCTGAGACTGCTTGAACTGCTTTGATACGTTCCTCTTCCTTGGCTTCATGGGCTCGATTCCATGTTTCGGATAATCTCTGAACCTTCTTACGTTGTCTTTTCTCACCAGTATCAACCTCATGTCCATTTATGGGTTCGAGCTGTTTAACCTCTTCTTCAGAGACTGAGATACCTTCTTCAGATAATATAAATCAAATTGTGAACAAGAGAAGAATAAGACGCATCATATGGCAGGAAATATGTGAAATCAGAAGTAAACGTAATGAAGTATCTTAACATAAAATAAGAAGAGCCTGTCTTGAATAGTCGGTTACAATATAGATAAAATAATGCTTATACTAATTTGAACTTACGGTTTCCCACTTGACTGCAAGACTATTTGAAAATCAGGTTAAATTACTAACAAGTAAATAAACGAGGAGTCTTTGAAAAAAGTGTGTCATTTCGACCCATCATGCTCGGAAACAAATTAAAAAATAAAAGACTAGATAAAATGTTATGAGTAGAGTTTACTGAACTAGGTGCCTTAATCGTAAAGCTTTCATTATTCTTCCATACGATATCACCGGTTCAAACTTCAAACAGAAAACACCAATTGAGATATCCAAATATATAACTAACACGTTTTGTTAACATTAAACTTAGTTGGTTACTTTCATCTCCTGTCTTATCATCGGATGCACATTTATAATGATTGCATTCCTCAAGAACCTGATTCCTGAAATTACAGTTGCTCATAATTTATCTAAGTGACCGATAAATTCGATTAATTCTGGTTTTCGTTGTATTCTCTATGCCGTCGTATTTGATAGCTAATTGATGTTTATCCGGACAGACAGTATGTTTGATGTAATGCAACAAAACAATTTTTTGGTTATGAAGATTCTAAAAGACTTTTTTTTATTTAAGGCTTTTACTTGTGATATTGTCTAAAAATCGATAAAGTATGTCCACACGGACGGATGTCAATAGGTAGTCCATTGATCGGCTAATTAAAATAGTTTATAAGGGTCAGTTCATATATAACATTTCGACATTACTGAAGGGAAGACTGAATACGGCAAATATAGTTTCGAAAGAGTTAAATGGGGAGGGGATAAATAAAGTGAGATGATATCTACACTTAGGATTTAAAAGACGAAAGATCATAGTATTTGTGTTACTGGGACCTAATTTGAGCTATTTTACTTAACGTTTTTAACCAGGGATGAGTACCCAACCTTCTTGAGAGTGGTGTTAGCTAACAGGGATGTAGATAGAGACTACGAACACGTAGCAGCGTGTATTCCTATTTCTCCAAGTTTTTACTGCCCCACTGGATTATATTCCTTAAATAACATCGTCAAATCTTAATCTTTCCGATTACTGCTCATACTTTGACTAACTCTACCACTATGGGATTTGAATCGACAATTGTATCTCTGTGATAATGTGGTATGGCAACTTGAATTTATTTACGTACGTACGAAGTTCTATGTTGTTGCTGACTGACATTACTCTACCACCTAGCTGGACAATGTATAAGATAAGTCCGACTGAAATTCAGCCATGAATGCCTGTTACGCTTCCAAACTCGGTGGCACGCCTGCGTCCGAGGAACCAGAAATAAATATAAGGGATAACCAGATACCAGAAAGGTAGATAGTGCTGGTTATCTACACTGAATAGGTATATTCAGATAATTCTGGGTGTGGGTTTCGGCACATTATAGATCAGAGGAATGAGAGTCTACAGTCTTGATGTTTACTATTAACAGCTTCAGTACGCATTCCTAAATGGTTCTGAGAGAAAAAGGTCAGAAACATGGGTGGTATGTGCAAAAATGATGTAAGAGGAATGATAACGAACATCAAGAATATGGGTTGAACTGAAAATCCGACTGTGAATAGGATTAACATGATTTTTATTTTCCATATGATGCTATGGAGAGGTATTTATTCTTAAAACCAAGAAAAGAATCTAGATTAAATGAATGTCGTGTCAACCTAAAAGTGAGAGAGTTAGGTCTAAAGAATAGCGCTTAATGCTAATCACATATGATATTTTAATAGGTAGCCTCTGTTGTATTAGTTTTGCAAACTTCAGGCTACCCTACCAGAAATCCATAAAATAGGGCGAAGTGTATACCTGTGGTTGTTTGTCATATTGCAACGATGGACTCTGAAGATATACAAAAGTAGAACACGGAAGGTATCCGAGTAGTAATAAATTACAGTTAGACATATCTAATTAGACAACTTATTGGCATTTCCACAGATGAAAGTAAATATGACAATTACAAATCTTGGTGAGCTAGTTTCTTTAAAATATAACTTCGTCTTATCGAAATAGTCAGTAACTCGGCGAGAAGATTCACCCAGAAAGAAAAGACCTGGAAGCCCATCAACGCTACGCAATTCTTAGTTTTGTGCACTTTTACATCTAACAATCAATTACATTGATGACGAAAGACCAATTTTAAAAGGACACATTGTGGGGACTACGAAAATTAAAATCGATTACAGTGACTATAATTTATGGACGGACCAATCCGGTTTAGGACATGTATTGGATTTTGGCGCGAAATTCTTCCATCCATTTAGATAAAAAGAATTTGGGGACTTCCGCTGATGTCAGTTCGTGATGAAAACTTTAAACATTGCGAATCCTAACCATCAACTGTAAATTATAACTCTTCTTCTTCACACAGGTTCATAACTCTCATATGGTTCTGGATATTAGGTAGACATTCTCAAGGCCACTTTAGCGTCTCTCAAAGGTCGTTCACAAATTATAGTCTCACCGTGATTACCTGTGAAGTTCTAGAAATGGGGAATATACAAGACAGGATTTAAAAAAGTTGATGCACACTTTCAAATTACCGTGCGATTATTTAACTCATTGTGCCATCTAATACGCTGAACCATACTGACGTTACAGTAGCCTCAGGACCTAGACTGAGTAGGTAAGAAATAACAAGGCCACGAGAAAATGACATGAATCTGGCTATCAAAACATGCAACCATCACTAGTTACAGGTAATCAAATACAAAAATATCATACGAACCAGAAAGAACATTCTTACTGCTTAGAATATACTTATCATTTTAGAGATGCGAGCATTCATGCTACCATCAGCGAACGTGGACAGAATACTCGTCTTTCAAACTTACGTTCTTTATGAGGAGATTCGCTATGACTATCGTCCACTTTGTCTAGAGAACCATCACTGTCCGCAACTTTAGGTGACTCCATCCTGATTAAAAAGTTCCCAACTATTCCGCGCGCGAGCCACTTTAAACCTAAGGTCATCCAATATCCAATGGTTAAGATGGTGACTGCAACTTCTTGAGTGTTGTGTGTCAACAGATGTCGTTTCCTTATGCATTCATATAGGTGTCGTGATGCAAGGATTAAGCATAAAAGTGTGTTTGAGCATACTATTTGACTCATGAACTGTCAAGACCATGAGAACATCGTAGAAAAGGCAGATGGTACCGGCTTGGGAAACCCTGTGTAGGTAGATTACCTGTTTATTCGCATAAGGTTCATACAGATAAACAGGGCTGGGAGGCTCACGCGTTTCAAATTGAAGGTATAAAGTTCTTATATATTAACGCTGCGAGTTTACTGAATAAAATGAATGGGCTTCAGACTAGTCGTGATTTTAAACAGTTGTTTTCTCTCCTCTGGCTTACTGATATCTAGAAACAGTTCCAAATAATTGCATGCGCTCGTGGAACGTTAGGCATAAGCTTCGTTGCGATACTTAAAACTCATTTATAGCTATTATGAAGTCAGTATTGTATGGCTAGTGAACTATATCTGAACCATTTCAACTTTAGACACTAGTTCGGTGAACGCTAACCGGCTTGCCAATGATTGTCAAGGTCAAAGACTGTTTACGCGAGGTACTCACAATTACGCCACCATATTTACACAATATTTATTCAGTTTTTTCTCATTAATGCAGGCCATTATTTTGGAGAGCTCCAGATTGTTTTACTCGGTCGCCAAAGTAATCGATACCAAATTGGATGGGACTTTAGTGTGCCGAAGGTTACCAAGACTAATAAGAATCCTCCGGGTGATGGCAAGCTGAAACATAAGTCAAAAAGAAAGCGGCAGCATCTGGTCGGGGAATACATGTAACAATATTAAAATATCTGCCTTCATGCTCAACACGCTTAAAATGAAAATTTAGGTGAGGATTATTTGAGCTATAAAAAATGGGATTACAATAGTAATAATAAAACGATGCGTGTTAGTAGCCAATGGTTAATAACTTAACGTATAGGTAGTAAGTATTTTGTGTTTAGAAATATTAAAGTTATAAATATTGTAGAAATGTTAATATTAGTACTACTTTTAGTCCAACTTATGAAATCGAATAACGATTCTGCCGCTAAGTTGTCCATATGAGTTGATTTCCAATTGCATCTGTATTAGCAAGCTAATTGAAGGAACAAAAGTTTGACCGTGGAGAAGAATTCCAACTAGTGTTCCAGTTAGTTTGACTCGGTTAGGAAAGGGCGAAATACACAAATAGTTTAATAAGCGTGTTCATGGACACAGAACAAGAATAAACGACTATGTATCGCCAGATGAGTAACGGAAATAAAATAAAACAAAATAAATTTGAGAAATAACTTATTATTGCAGTAAGATATGATGTCAGAATAAGTGGTTGTGCAGTCATAGTTTGAAGTGATGCTATAAAAGTTTCAATTAAGTTCTAAAGGATAACCAAATATCGATATGTATGAGTCATATATGCATAGTGAAGACAGAACGAGTCTAAGAAATTAATTTAAGTGTAACACAAGTTATTGTCTTAATTACAAACTCCAAAATCTTAGGAATAATATTTATTTAGAAAGAGAAAAGGGATAGAAAGGAAATGAAAACCTCGCAAATGTGTTTGACCATGATAGTAAGAATGTAATAAATATCGACTTCTGAAGCAAACCATTAATTTTATTAGTTTTTTAGTGCACTCGGTAGAATATATGTAAAGTTATGTAATAGAACTCAGAGTTAAACTTGATACTAGTATGAATATCTGTGTAATAATAATTGGGAATAATGGTATGAAAGTCACAGTTAATTGCAAAGGATAATCAAATATAAAGTTCTGTTTTATATACGTGTAGTGAAGATAATATGAATCTGAGTACTTAATTTACTTAAGTATAACATAAGATGATTTGTTTTCAGTTATAGACTTTGGATGTTTAAGATTAAAATATGTTAAGAAGAAAAAGAAGAGGCAAAAAGATTATCTAATTTGTCGAGTTACCAATGGTGATAATCAATTAAAAAAGAACAATATATTCGTCAAAATGTGCCAGCTACTTAATAGTGAAGCTTATGCGTCAGTGCTGCGCGATAATTACAGACTTTATCATGTTTCAGAACTGGTGTCGTGTTCATCTTGTGAATTCGGTAAACACACAACAGGTTCAAACTTGACATCAGTGTGTTAGTGCTATGTATTTATGCAGTACAAACGTCCACGATGTCTAAAGATATAATAAGGTCACTTTTATGTGTTGTGACCTTGAAAGACATATACACTAGGTTTTTTTAGTTTTGTTCCTGGAGTGAGATGCTCCATAGCTGTTCAGTGAAAACGTGACGTTAAAAGATAACAAAAAAAGAGAAATACAAGGGGCGCGGTATTTGGATATAAACTCTCATTAATGCTCAACGGTTTGCAATGGAACGTAAATTGGTAGATAGAAATAAAACAGACTGCCCTTTCTAGACTGAAATATGACCAAGTCTTGAGCTTAGAGAGTACGGTCATAAATAGCAATGATTTTTGATGTGTTATAATATGGAATAGTTTCAAATGATTGAAGCGATTTCGAGGTTAATCAGAAAGGCTATTTTTTAAAATGGAAAGAGAATAAAAAGAAAATGAAGTGTTAAGGAACGCTAATAACTACACCTTTTACTATGATATCTTTTACTACTCTCATTTCTTATCTAATATCAGTCACTAGGGCATAACATAAAAGCCTGACTTAGATTGTCATAGGTAATCATAGTGGGGTAGAAAATCCAGCATAAGATTGAAAACATAAGTATAAATTGCGAGAGTAAGAGAACAACCATAGTATCAATGACTGATTGGCTCGTCCTTGGTCATGAAAGGCCTGAAACAAGCGGAATTTTCAACTCTAAAATCACTAGTAGATTAAAGTCATTACCCTAACCATCATCGCTTGCTTGTCAGCAATTCAGTGGACCACCCTAAATTAGAATAAGTGGACTAATTTGTCGAATTCGTGCTACATCTGCTTGTCCGTCGCTCATATACTTGTGTTTTTAGTCACTTGTGTAAATAGAACGCATCATCAATACATTTCGTGTTCCACTTTTTACATTCAGCATTATATTTACGTGAAATACCAATGGTTTTTTGGATACGAGATACCCAAACAGTAAACTGAAATCAGTCGTAGTTCTATAAAAGTGATGATAGAGTTATTCCTAAAGTATGACTTGACTAGATCACTTTTGTTCACAAATGACGTCCATCGTTGACCGCTTTAAGTGGAAGCAAGTTCTTAAAGTCTGGCCAATTATTATTCAATTCAATCCAAATTGATGAGCATCGATACTTACCGAAATTTTTATCTCCTTAAACCATGAGATTTTCTGCACACAGAAAGCATTGGATCGATCATTGATAACCAGTAAGAAAACTTGCCCAGTGAGGTAACATTGTGTTGATCTACTCAAACATTCATAAATGTGCAGGTTCAGACAGAGTGTTACAGTAGGTACTCCAAGTAGTTAACTTACCATGAACTGGTATTGAAAATATCATTTGTTAGTATTTTTCACATAATTGTATTGCCGTAGCTTTGAACTTGGTTTGGATGCAATTTTAACTCTGAATGTTTGGTTGAAAACCAACTTCGGTCTGTTATCTAGCATTTTTGCTCTCGATACCTACAAATCAAAGATTTTTATTGCGAATTACTATTATAATTACTTTTTAGAACTACACACCGGTAATACCCAATTTGTGAGTAAAACATAAATACTTTGAACTTAAATATTTAGTTTTCTCATTATTAGACTGAAAAGTACCAGTTATCAGTCAACCTTTTTTAAAAAACTGACAAAAGTGGAAATTTTAGCTGCGAATGTGAATTTTTGTCGTGGGGTCTAACTCTGTAGCACTTGTTTCTCCAGCGAACATGTGTTAAATTCAAAAGTAAGTAACTCTGCAGTTTATTATGGGAATTTGTGTAATATTAGTAATCCTGAACACTCACTAGATTGTAAAATGTTCACAATATTAGTTGGGATTCCGTCATAACTAATTCTACTACTATATTCACGTGAAATCTGTACGACTATAATCAGAGTGAAAAATCTTAGGTGAAAGGGATGTATAAATGTTAAGTCTAAGTGAGTTCGAAAGATAATCTTCAAGTTGCACAACTTGACTGTTGAAAGCATAAAGCAGTCGAAAAGTATTCACAATTGATTGGTCACTGGATGGTGATCAATTTCATGCTTGTCTTGTCCTTATTAGTGCAGATCGAATGCTATCGATCATGTTGCAATGCGGACACCAGTCTATGTGACTCGACACTGCGGGCACTATATATTCAGATTTAGATGGTGGTTGGAGGTAGTCAACAGGAGACCCTGGTAACGTGATAACGTCTCTGACTGTGAAGCTGGGTGACACGAGACCGAATCCGCCATGGAGCACCAGTTCCCTCAAGATTACAGGTACACCTTGCTGTGTCAAAAAAGACACACTACAAGCCAAAGGTCTGTTTACGATTAAAAAAACAGCAACTAATAGCGTTTACGATTAAATGGTATGTATTGGGCCAACTCTGAGTTCATATTGATCCCCAAAGACAGTAGTTTTTCGCCCAACCCAGTCGGTTTAGTCCAGAACACCAAAACCAACCTCCACTATATGAATCATGTATTTCAAACATACGCATTATATACAAGCAAATTAGACCTTATCGTGTCATGAAATAGAAAATCACAATTATACAAGATCAGACCAAAAGTTGTTGTGGTTGTGAGAGACTGTGGCTAATAAATTTCGAATAACCCGAAAATGGTAAATCGTATATTAATGGTCAGTAGGTGAAATGGAAGCTTATTATAAGAGAAATATGAATATACATACAATATAGTTATTTAATAGTTATGCGATAAGAATATCTATACATATATAGTAAAAATCCATAAATAGATCTGAGCAGTTAACATTCACTTATTATTCGTCCGCACATAAAATGGTTTTCATTTTGTCGTCAAAAAATTATCGAACATACATCTGAAGATAAACCGAACACGCTG